AGTTCTTCATTGTCCTCCTCCACCAACTCTTCCACATCCTATAAATAACAGTGTGACTTTGCCAATGGTCCAAGTCGGACCGAAACGTCGTCATAAGCTTCTCTCTTTCATGTGCGGGTTATTTGTGTATCTTCCACATCCTCCTCACTAACCTCCAACCGCAAGGACTTCTCCATTGCCACAATGGATTTCTCAACTGGCATAGGCTTCTCAGGGTTAGCCTCAAATCCTTCAAAATCCCTTTTGTCTACACATTCTGGCCACAGTTTTCCCAAGCCTTACCTATAAGGTTTACACAATTGAGGATATTAAAGTGATCTCTCCAAAACTCTCTTAGAGTCAATTGAGTTTCTGAGATCACTACAAAGCACCTTTCAAACAGAGCTTTTGTGTACAGTTTTTTTGAAGTTTGCAATACCCTGCTGGTCCATGGGCTGCAGGAGAGGAGTGGTATTAGGAGGCAAAAACTTGACCTTAATGAAGCTCATGTCCTCAGAAAGTCGCTCTGCCAAGTCTGTAGGATGACCAGGGGCATTGTCTAACACCAGGAGGCACTTAAGGTCTAATTTCTTTTCAGTTAGGTAATTTTTCACATTGGGGGCAAATGCTTGGTGTAACCAGTCATAGAAAAAGTCCCTAGTGACCCATGCCTTACTGTTTGCCCTCCACAGCACACACAAATTAGCCTTGAGGATATTCTTTTGCCTGAACGCTCTGGGAGTTTCAGAGTGATACACTAATAAAGGCTTCACTTTGCAATCACCACTAGTATTGGCACACATTAACAGAGTAAGCTTATGTCCTGGGAGTGCCTTTTCCTCCTCAGTAATGTAGGTCCTGCTTGGCATTTTCTTCCAAAACAGGCCTGTTTCGTCACAATTAAACACTTGTTCAGGTTTCAGTCCTTCACTGTCTATGTACTCCTTGAATTCCTGCACATATTTTTCAGCTGCTTTGTGGTCCGAACTGGCAGCCTCACCATGCCTTATCACACTATGTATGCCACTATGCTTCTTAAATCTCTCAAACCCACCTTTGCTGGCCTTAAATTCACTCACATTATCACTAGTTGCAGGCATTTTTCTAATTAAATCCTGATGCAACTTCCTAGCCTTTTCACTTATGATCACTTGAGAGATGCTATCTCCTGCTATCTGTTTTTCATTTATCCACACCAATAAGAGTCTCTCAACATCTTCTATCACTTGCGATCTCTGTTTCGAAAACACAGTTGCACCTTTGGCAAAAACAGCTTCCTTGATTGCCGTTTTCTTGGACACAATAGTAGCGATGGTTGATTGGGGTTTACTATACAACCTGGCCAGCTCGGAGACACGTACTCCACTTTCATACTTAGCAATGATCTCTTTCTTCATCTCTATAGTAATTCTCACCCTTATTTCTGTAGGGTTGGCACTAGAAGCTTTCTTGGGGCCCATGGTCACTTTTTTGCAGATGAAATCACCAAAAACGCTGTAATAATACGAAATGTTCCGATTGTATGCTTGGATGTTACCGTGGAGGCTGGCTTGTAAACAATGCCACCGGCGGAACATGTGAGGCTGGCTCAGGTTGCACATAGACGCGTCTCAGACGAATAGCGTTGAGCGAGTTTTTTAGCTCTATGCGAGGCAAAATTTTAGCGATAAAATGTATCGCTATGTGGATTTAATGTCATGTGATGCCAACGCTATGCGAGGGTCCACTGTAATTGTTTGAGGACTTTAGTGATGTATCTTGGAGAGGATTTCAACTGTTTTGAAGACCTTGGTTATGTGATGGATGTTAGTGTTATATTTTCAGTTGTTATAGGTAAAGTTCAAGTTGTTGTAGCTCATTTTGTCTTACAATTTATTTATTTATTTATTTATTTATTTTTATTTGGACATGATACATAGTTGTACAAGGAAATATAGTGATTGGGTGTACATGCCAAAAGCCCCTTGTATGCAGTGCATTATGGGCAGGCTTAAAATTAACTTAAGATTAACTATGCAATGATATATTCAATGGTAAAAATTACAGTAAACAAATTATAACATGAAGTACAAATGAGTATTTCAACTAAGAAGCATTAAAGTTGTACAAATTTGTAGCATAACAATGTATAATATAATCCGATCAAATCGAATAAAATCAATGATTTGTATTGCAGAAACAGGTCATATGGTCATAAGATGAGTTACTGTGCATTCAAGAGAATGGAGTGTTCTATTAGGTAATGTAATTAAAAAAAAAACATAGTTTGATATGGTCACATTTATGAGATAGTTATTCAGTATTTATTTAGTTGTGGTTGAGTAAGTGGTTTTTAAGAAAAGTCTTGAATTGTTAAACAGACAGTGTTTCTTTTATATTAACAGGTAATGAATTCCAGATTTTTGGGCCTTTTATGTGCATTGAGTTTTTGCATAGTGTGAGATGGACACGAGGAACATCAAAGAGTGATCTGTGCCTTGTGTTATGGTCATGTGTTCTGTTGAGGTTGGTAAGGAGAACTTTGAGGGGAGGGTTTATATCTGAGTTTAGTGTTTTATGTATGTAGTAGGCACAGTAATAAGTATGGATGCTTTGTATGGTGAGTAAGTTTAGAGTTTTGAATATTGGTTGAGTATGCTGCCTGGAGTGGGAATTTGTTATCATTCTGACTGCAGCCTTTTGTTGGGTAATTAATGGTCTGAAATGATTTATTGTTGTTGAACCCCATGCACAAATTCCATAGGTGAAATAGGGGTAAATGAGTGAGTGATATAGGGCCAGGAGGGTTGATTGTGGAGCATAGTACCATATCTTCGATAGTATGCCTACAGTCTTGGAGATTTTCTGGGAAATTTGTTGTACATGTGTTTGAAATTTGACAATGAGTGAATCATTTATCATTATAAGTTGTATATCTGTAGTTCTGCTTCCAAACATCATGTAGAGATCCCAGGGTTAATCTAGTGGTAGTCATCTTAGTAGATATTATTATGAGCTTATCATGAACAGTGTGACTAAAAGAAACTAACCCACAAAAACAATTTGCAACTAACCAACAAAGTCATATTTAGAATAATTCACAACTAACCCACAAGACCATAGAACAATTCACAACTAACCCACAAAACCATAGAACAATTCACAACTAACCCACAAAACCATAGAACAATTCACAACTAACCCACAAAACCATAGAACAATTCACAACTAACCCACAAAACCATCGAACAATACACAACCTACAAAACCACAGATAAAACAATTCACAACTAACCAACAAAATCATAGAACAATTCACAACCCACAAAACGATGGGCGGAACAATTCACAACTAATCCACAAAACCACAGCTGGAATAGTTAACTCACAAACCAAAGCTGGAACAATTAACCCTCAAACCATAGCTGGAACAATTAACCCACAAGCCATAGCTGGAACAATTAACCTACAAACCATAGCTGGAACAATTAATCCACAAATCATAGCTGGAACAATTAAGCCCCAAACTATAGCTGGAACAATTAACCCACAAACCATAGCTGGAACAATTAACCCACAAACCATAGCTGGGACAATTAACCCACAAACCATAGCTGGAACAATTAACCCACAAACCATAGCTGTAACAATTAACCCACACACCATAGCTGGAACAATTAACCCACAAACCATAGCTGGAACAATTAACCCTTTCTGGGTCCCCAGGCCCTCTCCCAGACTTATTCTCAGGGTCGTCCAAATTTCAAAAAAAAAAATTTTTTTCTTATGAAAAGATAGAGAATCTTTTCCCGATCATAATGACACCAAAAGTATGAAATTTGATGGAAAGCTTACGGAATTATGCTCTCGCGAAGTTAGCGGTCTCGACGATGTTTACACATCGGCAATTTTGCCCACTTTGAGCCCTATTTTCGGCCAATTCCAGTGTACTAGTCTACAAAAATCATAACTATTTCGCTAGAACTCCATTTTTTCTATCAATTGAGCACAAGAAACCAGTATTTAGCAATTTTGCCGATTTCACACAAATTTCAAAAGATGCCAATTAACAAATAGGGTCCAGAATAAACAAAAAAGACATTCCTGGCACTAAAATAACATTTCTTCTGTTCATTAGTCATGTCCCTTTTACATAGCTGGAACAATTAACCCACAAACCATAGCTGGAAAAATTCACAACTAACAAAATGTAGCTGAACACTTCTCAACTAATCCACAAACCATAACTGGAACAATTAACCCACAAACCACAGATAATGTTTCAGTGTCATCTTGCTAAGGGTAGGATCATTGATGCCTCTGAAGTGCTCTTCATTGAAGGTACTGGAACTCTCTTCCCTTTTCTTGGACTGAACTTGATTACTTCCCATTCCCGTGTGTTGTGTAACTTCTGTGTTTATTACATTAATGTGGAAGCACTTACCCATAGGGGCCATACAGTGTCTTAATGGGTGGCAGTCAGGTTAGATCCAAGGATAGGGAAGGTAGCTCCAGTTTCTTAAATTAAAAACCCTCCACCAGCATCGTGTTTATCTTTTCCCTATGAGATAAATAATAACAATAATAATATATTTCTACTTCACAGTTAACTGATGAAGCACACTGCTGTCCCTGACATATTTGATCTCAAGTTTTTAAGAAGCATAAGTGGAAGTTATAACATCTTTTTCAGCTGGCCAGTCATGCTATAATGTTTGTACAAGACTTTCAGCCAAGTATTATACTTCAGAGTCTGACAAGTCTCAGTTGGCCAAGCATTATATTACATTATCTGATAAGACTTTCAGCTGGCTACATATAATACAGTGGTATCTGATAAGACTTTCAACTGGCCAATCATTATACTGCAGTATCTGATAAGACTTTCAGCTTTCCAAGCATTATACTACATTATCTGATAAGACTTTCAGCTGGCCAAGCATTATAAATGCAGTATCTGATAAGACTTTCAGCTGGCCAAGCCTTACACTGTGTGAACAGTATGATGCTTGTGGTGCATTTTTGAAAATTCATGATATCAGTTACTGAAGAAATCAAAATGATTAGTCATTTAGAATTGTCAGGAAAATTGGCTTTGGATATGTACACAAATGTTAGTAGAGGAGGCAAGTTATATCAGTGTTCTGAGTGTTTAAAATGTTATAAACACAAACACAATCTTTCAAGCCATATGCAATATCATTCTGGTGTGTCATATTATTGTTCAGTATGTAAAAAATTCTTTAAAAATAAACAGAGTCATAAAGTTCACATGCAAATTCATACTGGGGAAAAAAAATTTCAGTGCTCAGATTGTCAAAAATGTTTTGCCTCGAAAGGGACTCTTAATATACATTTACGTGTTCACACACGGGAGAAACCATTCAAATGTTCGGAGTGTGGGAAATCTTTTGGCTATAAAAACACACTTCAAACGCATATGCAATCTCATACAGGACATAAACCATTTCAGTGCTCCGAGTGTCAGAAATGTTTCGGTCAAAAAGGCGCTCTAGTGACTCATATGAGAGTTCACACTGGAGACAAACCTTATCAGTGTTTAAAGTGTCGAAAGAATTTTAGTTTAAAATGTACTCTGATGAAACACATGCAGGCTCATGCAGGTGAAAAACCTCATCAGTGTGCAAAGTGTCTTAAATATTTTGCCAATAAGGGTTATCTTGTAACACACATGCGGATTCACACAGGAGAGAGACCCTTTCGCTGTTCGGTGTGTTTGAAGTGCTTTAGTGAAAAAAGTACTCTTAAAAAACACATGCATATTCATACAGGATATAAACCCCATCAGTGTCCTCATTGTTCCCTTTGTTTTACTTCAAAGGGCAATCTTGTGTCTCATGTGAGAGTTCACACCGGTGATAAACCATTTAAGTGTTCGGACTGTCAGAAGTGTTTTGCACAAATGAATGCTCTTGCAGTTCACAGGCGCATTCATACAGGAAGCAAACCATTTAAATGTTCCGAGTGTATTAAATGCTTTAGCTATAAACATAGTCTTGTGATACATATGCGTGTTCACACTGGTGATAAACCATTCAAGTGTTCAGAGTGTCTGAAATCTTTTAAACAAAAAGGCAATCTTAAAACTCACATGAGAGTCCATACAGGTGAGAAACCTTATGAATGCCTAGAGTGTCATAAGCATTTTACTGAAAAAGCCAGTCTTGGAAGACACAAGAGAATTCATACAGGAGAGAAACCATACAAGTGTTCAACGTGTCGGAAATGCTTCAGAATTAAAAATAGCCTTGTGAAACATGAGCGAATTCACACATGATATAAACATTAGAAGTGACTCAAGTTGGGGAAATGTTTTAGCTAAAAAAAGCTGTCTGGGAGACATGTGGCTAGACAAGCATTATATAATTTAAAGGGTGTAATATAATTTGCAAAAAAGTGCAGATTTGTAATACAGTGAGGCTTAATGCTGGTGAGGGGGCTCTTAATCCAAGGAATTGGACTTTTCCTCCCTCTCCTTGGATTGCACTCAAATGCCTCTCATTACCCTAGATGCTGTATGACCCCTATGTGTTTAGTACTCACCCTATGAATATATGAATTTAATACATATATACGCACAATAAAGTTTCACATACCATGAGGTTTACAGCCCTGACATCAACAACAATTAAATGTTATTTAATGTTAATAACTATGGGAAAGTGGGGTTAGGTTCTGGCCCTACAAAAAAAAAAAGTCAAATATGTCCATTTTCATCTGTTAGAGAAAATTGGCAATATGTTTCCTCCAGATAAAATAAACAAAGCTAACACACTATCAGTGACCATTGTAACTTTTATACACAATCTTATCATTATAAAATATGTTTAAAAAGTAATAAAGAATTTTACCCTACCCCAGTTTTTTCCTCATGTATTAATATGAAAGTATTTGGAGATGATTATGCAGTTTACTGAAGAGTAGATTGTTACATTCTTCCAGTTGATTATACAGACTCGCAGGTCTTCATATTAAACTACTTTATCCCACGATGGCTTCATACACTTGTTTAAATATAAGAGGACCACAAACCCCCCTCCCTGTGATGTCATTAGGTTCACTATATATTACAAGGTTTGTAAAATTATCTTTCCTTAATAAAGGTCTAGAAGTCATTTTAACACACACACTATTATTTACCTGAGAAAAAGGTTAAAACAAACTGGCTTTTACAAACATATACCTCTTCAAGGGGGATCTCCTTGACGTGGCAAAGAGGCTCTTGGTCTCAGGAATCATATCCTCTGGTCTCCTTCCTTAGATTGAGTCTAAATATCCCCCAATCCTCCTTTCCCTATCCCTTCCTACCCATACCCCCCTTTTTTTCCCTTCCCTTCCCTCTCCCAACTCTCCCCTTTTTCCCCATCCTGTTTGTAGCCTTTTGGGTCCTTCCCTCTGGCATTATGGTTTCTAGGTGGGGGTGGCATGCTGGGGTTTGTCTCCCTCCGTGAGGTCCCTCAGGGGTGGTGTGGTTTGCCATGGAATCTGAATTGTCTTAGGATGCCCTGCTTCCTTCCCGGATTTCTGGGTCATGGGTGGGGTGCCCTTTGGATGATGGGCGTATCTCCGGAAGCTGCCTGTCAGTTCTGGGGGGTAGCAGCCGAAGGAGGTAGGCTTTGTGGTGGGTTTCCAACCATCCTTTCTTTTGTCCACCAAGGTAGCTCGGTAGATGTGAGGTTGCTATCCCAGAGCGTTGGTTTACTGGCATGAAGGGTAGGGTATGGCACAGGTTCCATGCTGCATCTTCACTGCCAGTGGGCTCGAGGCCCTCTCAGATGAGGGGAGGAGCTTTCATCCCCTCCATGCCTCCTAGCAACTATCCCTCCACTGTCCCTCTTTTTTTTCTTTTTTTTTTCTTAAAATAACAAAAAAGAGGATACCACAGAAGATGCACCTATTATTATGGAGTCTTCACCCAGTGAAACCCTTCCTCCTCCCAGGCCCCATTCTGATCCCACACCCTGTTCTGACCCGGCTTCATTATCGGACCATTCTCTCGACTCTTCTCATACCCCTGTACCTTCTGCCAGTGACACTTCATCACCTGCTTCAGGTGCTGTGGCACCACCCATTTCTGTTCATGCCACTGCTTCTAGCACTCCTTTCACAATGCATCCAGCTTCCCAGAATACAGTGTGACAGTTCTCGGATCGCCCACCTCCCTGGGGTCAGACCACCAGCGGTTCTACTCCTAAGCATCCGACGACAGTTCATCGATGACCACTCAAAAACTGCCTACACGACACTCACTGCCTTTGCATACTGGACTGACAAGTATGCAATGGACAAAATTCTTTTCTTTACAGACGACATCTCAAACTGATTATCTTTCTGATCATGGAATTGGTAAAACTCTTATGGCATGTTGGCCCAAATATATCCATCCACGCTCTTTGAAGCAGTGTGTGTGTCATAACAGTGCAGAATTCAGAGCAAGCTCATGCTCTCTCTAGCATCACTTCCATAGATAACATACCAGTCACCATTCGTAAGCACCCTATTCTTAATTCTTGCAGTGGTACTGTGGTCTTACCACATACCATTGTACAGAGTGATTTTTTGTCTTGCAGCAAGGATATTTTAGAACAATTAGCCCTTCAGAACCTCCCTATCCTCAAGGTAACTACGTACATCCTGCCTGCTTGTGGGCGGAGGCACTTTTCTAGTAACATCGCTCATTTAACCTTCGACTGCCATGAACTTCCGTCATCTGTCTATATTGCGTGACATCACCTGGAGGTCCCTCAAGTAGTTCCCACTCCCCAATAGTGTCATAATTGCTGGCGTTTTGGACACCCTGCTAAACACTGCAGATCTGCCGTGGAATGCCCGGTCTGTGGTGCAGCATATCATTCCAATATGTCGTGTAGTCTTCCCCCCTCTTGTCTCAATTGCAGGGAACCTCATCCTTCCTTTTCATGCTGTTGCCAGGTTTATCATAATGAGCAAGAGATCCGTTATCTTAAGGAGCATGAGGGACTCGCACTATGGCTGTTTCTTAGCTCTGCCTTCAAGGTAAACTCCCTTGTGTCCCATATGCTCGGGTAGCCCGTAGACCTCCAACTTCAACGGTCGTTCTGCCTCCCAATCCCTCTGCGTCGATGTCTTCCGGGGCCACCCCAGTTTCTAATTCTTTTGCAATTTTATCCTCTGACACTCCTACCTCTGCACCACTTCCTACTTCTACTTCTTCATCTCATTCGCTTCTCAGTCTACAAGACCTCGCAGACCTACACTTTCTTCACATCCATCACCTGCACAGAATATCTCTCCTACCTCAGAGCCTCGTTCTCACCCCCTTTCCAGCTCTCACACGAAGGTAGAGGTTCACCCCCCCTCATGTAGTCCCCTCTTCCCCTGTTACCCCCCACCCTGTCTTCCTCCATAGTTACTCTCCAACCTCCTTCCTCTCCTGTTACACTACAGGCCTCTACCCCAGCCGATGCATCTCTCCAGGTTCATACTCCCTGCTCCCCTCAGACCTCTTTGGTTGCCTCCATAGTTACTCTGACCTTTCCTTGCAACACCTCTCCTGTCTCTGACATCATGGCATTGTTGGCTTCCTTAACAACAGAGATGTTAGATGCTATCTCCAGCTATATTGCGAAGACCGATGGACACCACGATTGGTACATCTATCGTAGAGTCCTTCTTAGGGTTCTTACAGTCAAATTCTGTAATTACTGTAAAATTTTCAGAATATTGTGTAGTCCCTCTTACCTCTCTTACCAGCCTCAAGAAGTTCCTTTATTGGGACGGCCATGGATGTCAAAATTGCTCTTACCAAAGCAAAAGACTTATGTGTATTGCCCCCCCCCATTCTGTTTCCTCCGATTTCTCCAATTTTCTCCTTGCAGGTTGATGCTTGTGAGTCTGGGGTTGGGACAGTACTGTTGCAAAATTGGGACGAGGGGTTGCAGCCTGTGGCCTTCTCAGCGAAGTTGCAGTCGCACCAGAGGGCCTACTCAACAACTGAAAAAGAAGCCCTCGCGCTGGTACTGGCCTTGGAGCACTTCGATATATATGTGGGCCAGACTTCACATGTGGTCACAGTCTACACCGACCACAACCCTCTAATTTATCTTCAAAACATGAAGAATCACAACACAAGAATTATGAGGTGGTCAATCAGGCTACAGCCCTATAATATCAGGGTAAAACTGGTAAAGAAAATAATTTGACAGACTATCAAGAGTCGAGATTTTATATGTATTAGGTTAGGATGTGTTAGGGACCTGTGGTAACCGGTTTCTAGCTCTTTTTTTTTTCCTCCCTTTACATATGTTGTGTTTTTTTTTTTGTTAGTGGGGGGCTGCATGCTACCGTCCACCCATACCTTGGACCTATGTTAGCTCTACTGTCTGCTGTCTTGCTTTAAGTTTAGGGTTTGGCTTTATGCCATGAATAAAGCTGAGCTCTATCTAAGAGTTGGATTGTTGAGAGGAAAGGTGGTCCCATTATATGGTGCCATGGTGGCACGGTTACCAATGGGAGGTGGGAGCCTATTCCTGAGCCCTCACAGGGTGGGGATGTGGCATGCAAAGAGTATGTAACCTTTGTTCAGCGCATGTACACACCCTCATTGAAAGGCTATCTCCCCAACCAGTGAACCAGTACTAGGGATCGAACGATGGAGCCCCATCGTTCGATCCCTAGTGAGAAGATGGTTCTGGCAATCGCAGAGGTGTTGTGGGCACCACCCACCTGTCTGCCCTTGTCATTTCTGTACTAGAGCTGGTTGAAGCACTGTCTGCTCTCTAGTGGCATCTATTCTGCCTTGCTTACTGTGGCATGCACTAATACCTATTGTTGTACATAGTGTATGTAGTGTACATGCTTCTGTTCTTGGTGAAAGGATAATATAAGTCAAAAGTTTTTCTGTGTTTATTTTGCTCCCTTTACACCCAGGATAACAGGCCTTTGAATTCTTGGGTTGTCATAACCACCATCACTATCACCTACCACCACTACCACCCTCTACCACCATCACTACCACCCTTTACCACCATTACTACCACTACCACCCTCTCCAACCATCACTACCACCCTCTACCACCATCACAACCACTACCATCCTCTCCAACTATCACTACCACCCTCTACCACCATCACTACCACCCTCTACCACCATCACAACCACTACCTCCTTCTATCTTCACTACCACCCTCTACCACCATCACAACCACTACCATCCTCTCCAACCATCACTACCACCCTCTACCACCATCACTACCACCCTCTACCACCATCACTACCACCCTCTACCACCATCACAACCACTACCTCCCTCTATCTTCTTCACTACCATCCTCTACCATCATCACAACAACTATCACCTACTACCACCATCACTACCACCCCTCTCCCACCATCACTACCACCCTCTACCATGATCACTACACCCTCTACCCCCATCACTACTACCCTCTACCACCATCACCACCACCCTCTACAACCATCACTACCACCCTCTACCACCACTACAACCCTCTACCACCATCACTACCACCCTCTAGCACCATCACTACAACCCTCTACCACCATCACTACCACCCTCTACCACCATCATAGCCACTACCACCCTCTACTACCCTCTTCCACCATCACTACCTAATTCTACCACTATCACTACCACCTCTACCACCATCACTACCACCCTCTACCACCATCACAACCACCACAACCACTATCACCCTCTACTGCCATCACTACCACCCTCTACCACCAAA